TTATATGTATTTAGTTTCAAGAATCTTAATAAAGTACTAGCGTAACTGCTTAAGGTTAAAAAAAAAAAATAAATAAATAAATAAATACAAATAAGATTTAAAAGAAATATATTAATGAAAATTTTCAAATTTGCAAATGCAATAACCTATTTTAATTGTAAATATATGGGCTAGGTGCTGAGAAAAGGAATAAAATTAACAAAAAAAAAGATCTTTGGAAAATCAATTTTTATGTTGTAAATCTTATAATAAATTATAATAAAATACAAACTTTAAGAGGCTATATTACAAAATTTTATTAATATAACTACTTTTGAGTCTTAAGTGAAAAATGATCTTAATCTTATTTTAAATTGATTTATGTAAAAAAACAGCTTTTGAAAAAAGTGTCAATTTCGTTCCTTTTCTCAGCACCTAGCCCATTTGTGTAACCCATTTACTCAACAGTAAGTCCTTCGGACAAAAATATATAAAACGCTTACCAAGAGCCCATATGGTAATTATGCGAAATCTGAACTGCAGATCTAGAAAGATTTATAATACTTAGGGTGAGAATTAATTTTCATATATATATATAATAAAATTAAGCATAAAAATTTGATTTTTTTGGCACTTTGAACAAAGATATTTTCATAACTAAATTCGATAAAAAATTTTTTTACATATATGTAAAATTAAATAAAAAAAAATTTATCGGCGAATTTATTGTACTGATCCTATTTAACTTTTTATTTACGGCTCTTAAAAAGGGTTTAAAAACTAATACATAAAGTAGTGAAGATAATGGAACTTCTTGTCAGACTTCTTTTTCGTTCCATGCGAAAAAAGCCCTGCATCTACTATGTAGGCTTTTCCCCCCTGTAAATAGACCCATTATCTGTTTACAAAACTTGGTCAAACTTATTTTTCCAATATTCTTTGTAAGAATTTGTGGCTGATCCAGTAAAAGATTTTTTTATCTACAAAGATCATCCAATTTTCTCTCGTTTGGTCCGACTGGTTGAGATCTACACTTTGAGAATGGTCGCGTTCAATAGCCTAAAAATAGTTAATCAATGCAATGTAATAAACGTAATAAATATGGGAATGGGGGATAATTAATTTCTAGCCTTTTATATGTAAAAGAGTAACAATCGTAGATTTGATTTAACTTAAAATTATTAAGCCAATAAAAAATGTACACGCATAACCACATAAAAATCAGCGAATCAACAAATTCCACATATCAATCACAGATCGATGGCTCAAATATTTAAACTTAAAAAAAAAGCGAGTCAAAAAATCATTCCTCCTCCCATCAAAAGAACACTAGAAAGAATCGAATAAATCGTACTTGGTTAAACTGCCTTGTTAGCCAGTTATCCATAAACGATGAAGTATAATCTCCGCATTCTCGCTTTATTCCTCGCTTCGGCATTCGTAGTCAGTACATATGCAGATCCTTCAGAGTCGCCTACTAACGAAAACGTAGACGAAAAGCCAGAATTTAAGGTAGAATAAAATTACGTTATGGACGATTTGACTGGTGTTCATATTCCCTTCCTCCTTCGTATTAGCTATAACAATAGTCAATAATTGCGGTTGATCCCCTCGAACCAAATACACACACATAAAACCAAAGTTTGTTAAATGCATTACTATCATTTATCTCAATTTTTCTTTCTTTTTTTTTTAAAAAAAAAAAAATTTATCTTTAAAAAAAAAGTCTTTTTTTATCTACTTATATATGATTAATAATTAAAATTTTAATCAATATTTTTTAATTTCGTAGCCAACAAAACTTAAGGCACCATTCTTAGAACAATTCACAAGTGACTGGTCAAGCCGATGGTCACCCAGTAGTGCAACTAAAGAAACAAAAGAAGGAGGCGAAACCTTTAGTTACGTTGGAAAATGGGAAGTTGAAGAACCTCACGTCTTTTCTGGTATAAAGAATGATCACGGTCTAGTCATGAAAAGTCCGGCTGCCCATCACGCTATATCCGCACTTTTAGAAAAACCATTGGATAACAAAGATAAAACGCTAGTTATTCAGTTAGTATAACTTTTTATATTTTTGTTATAATTATCATTCATAATTAATAAAAATCCATATTTTTGGAATATTTTAGATATGAAGCTAAATTTCAAGATGGACTCGAATGTGGTGGTGCCTATTTAAAACTTTTGACCGAATCTGAAAAAGGAATTCAAGCAGTAGAATTTTCAGATAAAACACCTTATACGATTATGTTTGGACCTGATAAATGTGGTGGTACGAACAAAATTCACTTTATCTTTCGACACAAAAATCCTATAACTGGTACATATGAGGAAAAACATTTGAAGAGCGCCCCAGCAGCAACAATTAGCAAACTTAGTACTTTATATGGTCTTATCGTGAGGTAAGTGTACCATAATGGTACTGACATTTATTACGTAATTTTTCAGGGGTGGGGGTTGAATGTGTACTATAGCAATATCTTACGTTACATATAAACATATAGTACATGATTAATTGGCCAATCACAATTAGTCTTATGTGGGGTACCTCCATAGGAAATTACGTAACAATGTCACTGCCCTAAGAAAGTTATTCTAATTTGAAATTGTTATTTTATTAAACTAACTTGCATAATTTACAGACCTAATAACACATTCGAAATCCGAGTTAATCATGAAACAGTTAAGAGTGGAAATCTTTTGGAAGATTTTACACCCGATGTAAATCCACCAAAAGAAATTGATGACCCTAATGGTATATGTTTTGATTAATTTATGAAAATCTATTAAATTCTTTTTCGATCCATTATTAATTAAATTTTAAAAATATGTAGATAAGAAACCTAATGACTGGGTTGATGATCCAAAAATACCCGATCCTGGTATGTTATCATTTTTGTGTAGTATAATGAACAATAAATTATTTATTATATAATTAATATATGTTATAAATAAAAGATGCCAAGAAGCCAGATGATTGGTAAATATTTTATAAAATTATAATTATGTTTCTGGAAAGTCAATTGGGTTGACAAATTATTGAATTGTAGGGATGAGGATGCACCATACGAAATTCCTGATGAGGATGCCAAAAAACCAGAAGGATGGCTTGATAATGAGCCTTTGAACATTCCAGATCCAGAAGCCAAAAAACCTGATGATTGGGATGATGAAGAAGATGGTGATTGGATCCCTCCAACTGTATCTAATCCAAAATGCGAGGAAGCACCTGGTTGTGGTGAATGGAAACGTCCAAACAAGCGTAATCCTAACTATAAAGGAAAATGGCATCCTCCAGAGATTGATAACCCAAAATATAAGGGTCCATGGGCACCTCGTAAAATTAAAAATCCCGAATTCTTCGAAGACTTGACTCCTTCTAAATTTGAAAGAATCGTAAGTTGTATTACTTGCTATCATATTGTGTGTTCATAATTTTATATTTTGTTACTAAAAAAAAAAAAATTTAATTAGGGTGCTATTGGGTTTGAACTCTGGACTATGCAAGGCAATATTTTGTTTGACAACATTTATATTGGCCATTCTGAAGAGGACGCACGGGAGTTTGCTGAAGAGACATGGGGCGTAAAATACAAGATTGAAAAAGCAGAAGAAGCTAAAGAGTATCCTCCAGAAGATCCTGAGGTATATATTATTGAGTACAAGCATACATATTCAACGTTGATTTTATTAGAGTTAAAAATATTTATTAAATCGTGTCATTTTTTAGGCTTCTAGTACATTTATCGATACTATACAAAAACATGTCAACGAATTCCTTGAAATTTTCTACGAAGATCCTTGGGAAGCTTTCAAAGAAAAACCCGAAGTTGCAGTTGGTTTGGCAGGATTAGTCATCGTATTAGTTTTACTCCTCGGAGCATTAGTTAATTTATTATCTCCACCGAAAAAGGTAATTTTAAGAATATTAATTTAGTGATAATAGTATGTGTATGATGAATTTGAACTGATTTTTCTCCTTATTTAAAAGGCTTCTGCACTACACAAGAAGACTGATGCAACAACTCCTGATGATAAAGATGCCGATAAAAGCGGTGCAAGCACTTCAAAAGATAATGGTAGTGAAGGTGACGAAACAAAAGCGACTAAACGACCAAAAAAAACTCCAAAAGACACTTAATTAATTAATAACTATTTTCTATTCAAATATTTCTCTTTACGAGTCTTTATCAATGAATATTCGGTTGAGAATTATTTAGAGGATAATTTTGTTATACTGATATTGTAGTTAATTATTATTATTAGTTTTTTCTTTTTTTATAAACAAAACGGACATTTGGTCTTACGTATTTTAATTTCATTAACGAGAATGATTCTCTGATTATTTGTCTATTTAAGACATTTCGATGTATTGTATAATCAAAAAAAGTAAAATTTTGCTTAATATATCAATCCATATTAATTGAAAAAAATGATTACTTTCCCTTGATCTACATACTGCATAAGTCGTATTCTTGATATTTATCTATATATAAATAAGTCGTATAAAATAATACACTAACTGCAGAACATTTTTCCTATTATTGTATCAAAAAAGTAACCTAATCTTAACGCGGCTTTAAGGGTTCGTGAATTTTCTTAAGTTTTAAAAAACAACAAATTCAGAAATATAAATGGATCAATCAATCGTTTGACGCACAGTAAAATGACGGAAGTCTCAATAGACCACTCCAACATCAGCTCAATAAAAGGTATGAAATTTTTATTTTACAATCGCAATGGCTTCTGTTCCTCAAAACACACGTCAACTTCGTGCGTGCCTCGTCTGTTCACTTGTTAAGGTAATTTTTAACTTTATAATAAATTTCTTTATAGAGATCATTCGGCACCAAGTAAATGGCAAATGTGTTTTTATACTCAGAAAACTATAGGTGATTCCAAAAGAAAACCAGTTTCAAACATATAGCTTTAGATAATTGAAGTCTGGTTTTCTCTTGGTGTCACTCAAATTATCTTCACTACCCGATGTCTCACAACTAAATTCGAATTTCATAAAACCACATATGTTATCAAGCTATGCTAAGTAGTGACATGTTTAATTGAACTGGCTAATTGGACATCAGTCCAAAATAATTTTGAACATATGACATTAACGTTAAGGCTAATTGGACTTGAGGCTAAGGCTAATTAGACAAAGGCGAGAACAAAAAATATTGGACTTCTTAGGGCTATTAACAACACTGATGCTAAATGAATAACAAAAAAAAAAAAAAAATTTTTTTCTATTTGATTTAAACAATTAGAATACTGAACAGTTTCGTAAGGAAGGATGTGAAAATTGTGAATCGTTTTTACAATTTAAACGCCACCCTGAAAGAGTACAAGAATGTACAAGTACAAATTTTGATGGGTACGTTGAAGTTTTCATTTTATTTATTTATTATTTATTATTTTTTTCTTTGTTCATTTCATTTTAGACAAATTATTAGCTTCGATTAACATTCCATCATAAATTCCTCATGCGACTTGAGTAGTTTAATAGCTTTGATGAAACCTGATGATTCGTGGGTTGCTCGATACAAAAAAATAGGTAAGCTTCTCTCTGAATTCTTACATCAACCTTTTTTATAACAACCATAGTAATAGTGTCGTTGCGACAAGATCTGAACATACGTTGTTTTGAATTATGAGCAGAATCTCTTGATTAATCATATATTAATTCTTTAGAAAACTATGCGTGTGGTGTATACGCAGTCGGTGTTCAAGGAAGGATCCCGGAACTAGTGGAGGATGAAATGGCTCAACGAAATATTCCGTACATACCTAGAGATGGTAGTCAAAACGTATCTCAAAATTAATAAATTTTAATAGCTTCACAGCATCACTACATGCTACATTTAATATAGATCGTTCAAAAGAATAAAAATACAATATTATATTACATTCTTATATATTCATTTAACAAGACAGGAGAGAAATAAAGAATTTACCCAATATTGTTTAACAAAAAGTCTGTATGATGTAAAATGTTAAAATTAACACTTATTTGCCTGTAATGAGCCTTGATTAGTGTGTTAGGGGTACGTCAAGTGTAACCTCGATTTATATAAGGAGAGCATCCTCTTGCATCGCAAATACTAAGTGACTGTAACAGTGTAAGAATCACTCTGTTAGATCTATTAACCGGTCATAGTTAGTATTGCTACTCGGGTGATCTGGATTAATTACTCGTCTAAAACCTTTCTTTGTCAATTCGTGAATATTTACTGCTTATTTTCCTGACAATTTAGTACGTAAGCACAAAGAACACAAGTATTTGAATATTTATTTTAGATCGAGTGTAAAGTGTATTATGTCGCTATTTATTAGTATGTTATTTTTCTGCCGATAACTTGTAAGTTACAAGCAGAAATGAGTCAAATACTAATAAATAGCGACCTAATACATTTTACACTCAATCTAAAATAAATATTCATAAAGTTAGAATTTTCATAATCGCGTACTAATCAAAGAGAATAAAATGAGCTTGGTTGTAAATATTCGTGAACTTGAATAACTTGATTTGAATACTTGTGTTCTTTGTGCTTAAAGAAAAAAATATTTATACACTGATACTATATAATTTATATAAATCGAGGTTATACTTGACGTACCCTCGACGCACTAATCAAGGCAGGGCAGCTGTTAAAAATTGAAAAAACCTGATGTATATATAGTCTAGCTATCTTAAAAAAGTACTTTTTTTTGCATAATGCAAACTGATTTAGCTTGGAAATAGCATTTGGAAGTCATACAATAATTAAATTTTTCGTTTTTTTTTTGCTAAAAAAAAAAAAAAAAATTATTTGTATCGAGCTGAGAATTAATTTAATCGGAGATTTTCGCAAGGTAAAAATTATTGTTCGTATCTCTCTTCAAATTATATATCTCAAAACAACGCCCCTGGGCGTTATTTCGAGATGCTACGAGTATTATAATTATTTATAGATTTCTAGCTTATTTCAATCGTTAAACTCTTTACAATAAGATATTGGTCATACGATGAAAAATAACGGCATTTTTTTTCATCGGAGTTAATGTCACTTCCATGTGCTGCTACACACAAGTGGCATTAACTCCGATGAAACAAATTTCCTGTTATTTTCGTATGACCAATCGATGGTATCGTTTGTATTAGCATGTGAATGACATATTGCATAAATTAATATTCATTTTATGATAAAAATATCAGGGTCAGGGCAAGAAAATTCACATGGGCTAGGTGCTGAGAAAAGAGACCAAATTGACAATTTTTCAAAAATCTTTTTTTTGTGATTAACTAAATTAGCTCAGGAACATTTTTTACTTAAAGAATAAATACTATTATCTTAATAAAATTTTGCAGTATAATACTTTAAAGTTGTATTTTCTTATATTTATAATATACAAAAATCAATTTTCCGCAAACCTTTTTAATTGTCAATTTGGTCCCTTTTCTCAGCACAAGCCCACATAATCATACATACACACAAACGATAATTTAATATTATCATTAAATTTTACAATTAATAATATATATTTTAAAAAATATTTACAACAGGCTATCATTATATATGTTGTAAGTGGGTGTGGAATCTACTTAGATTGGAACAGAATAACTATATAGTAAAAATAGTGTTCCGCAAACGGGTAATGATAGAAAGAGACTAAATTATTATTCAATTGCTTGACTAAAATACTCGTTTGCGGAACACTAAGTAAAAACATTTTGATAGCAAGATTAGCTGTCACATGTTTAATTAAATTTATTGGCTATTTGTCTAATCAAATTTATGTGTTAATATCACTGGTTAAAAAGTTTTGAAATCGATTAGTTGTCAACTTTCGATTAATCAATTTTTCAATTGTATCACTGCCGTAATAAAAGTCACTGTGAATAATTAATTATCGACAAAATGTCCAATAATTATAGCATATAAATGTTATTTAATTTCATGATTAATTACGAGGAAGTTAGTCTATATACAGACAATATCCGTTCGATCCGGTCCGTACGAAATACTAACCGTTACCATTTAATTTTTAGTGTAACCTCTATAATCTTTAAGAATTATAAATAATATTTCGAGTGGAAATTTTTTTCGAAATCGACCATCTTTTGGTCCTAATCATCTATATCTAGATTTTCATAAGAATTCCTTTTCCTGGTAACTACATAGCCATATATATAAGTATTGATTCCACCCCTAGTATTAAGGAGAATTGGATACTATAGCATAAGATTTGTTTGTGGCGTACGCTCCCAAAGTTTAGCGACTCAGTATAAAAATGATCAATCATCTAGCAGCAAAAAATTTTTTAGCATCAGAAACCTTTTGTTATGACTCAAACAAATAATCCAGTTCAGAAGAAATTGATTTCATCACAAAATACCAAACCTCCCGTAATACCACTTAGCTCACAACCTTTTTATAATGATGCCATCAGAGGTCAAGTAGGATCCTTTGGTAGTTCATCATCATATTCTACTAGAGAAGTTCCCTCACAGCATACGGAATATCGACACACTTTTGCTCCAAGAACAATTCGCAGAAAGCATCACGGAATCAAATTATTTTTTGCACCTTTACAAGAGTCAAGAAATTGGATAGCGTTGATATATTTAATCCTGTGGAATCTTCCTTATTCATGTTTTTGTTTTGGATGGGTTATTGGAACCTTTATTGGTAGTATTATATCTTTGATATTTCCTCCTGTCGGTTATGTTTTGTTGCTCTTTTCAGTTTATTCATGGAGGTACGTATGTACGTAGTTATGCGTTCGATCCGATCGTACAGATCATATGACTTATGATATATATAATAAAAATGATCACGTTCATAGGATGCTCGGTCGCTTTGAGATAGCGATATTAAATTCCATTTCGTCATCAGATAATTTAGCAGCGATCACGCGTAAACCACTTCCTTCTATAACAAAAGTGACACCACCCATTTATCTATATTCACCATTAAGCAGTACTAATTATCAAATTCCTGTTCGTCCTAATCAAATAGGAAGATTCGAAAATCTTTTTTTACTATTTAAGGATGGGTTCACTGTTAGAACCGTTGTTTACTTTACTTTCACTAAATTTGTAATGTCTATTATAATATTTACATTAGCGGTGACGTTATTTGCCTTAGGAGTTTCTATTATGATATGCTTGTTTCCTTTATGTTTGAAAATGTTTGGGCAGTTGGTAGATGTAGAAGCGAGACTGGCAAGAAAAATTTTATTGGATTAATTGGATTAATAAAGTTTTCAAGAACCATTGTTAAAAATTTTTATCATTGTAAATAAAATAAGAATTATACTTTACGGATTTATATCCTTTATATCACATGATATGATTGCCAATTATTTTTACTGTACAAGTTCTTTTCCGCGTAGCTTTAAAGATAATGGCACGCGTTATATGGTTTGCGGTTGCATTACTAATCTTGATCTCGATATGTTTTTATTTTTTTAAACTTTTCAGTGATCCGCCGCTTTCAATTTCTACGTTTCCAAAAAAGAATAAAGAAGCAGTTTCTCCGGACACCTTAAGCCTTATAAAAATTCATACAAACTATGCTGCCGCTGCATACTGTTCAAAACAAAAATTAAACAATTGGACTTGCGGTTATCGGTGTTTTGGTAACGTTACAGTCGAAAAAGTATTTCATGATGAACTTAAAGGTGCTTACGGGTACATTGCCGTTAGTGAGGAGAATAAGACTATCATCGTTGCTTTTAGAGGGTATGCTACAATATTGAATATTAAAATTAAAGGAATAAAGTCATCCTTAAAATATATACTTATTTATTTATTTAAATTTAGGAGCCTGGATCTTGCAAATTGGATACATAATTTACAATATGCAAAACTTGATTATGAATTTCCCGGGATCGAAGGTTTGATTTATCTTCATTACTGTAAATTTTATCATATTAGAAAGATACAATTATAAAAAAAAAAAAAATTTAAAATAAACATAGGTGCTTTAGTACATGGTGGGTTTTATCATGCTTATGCACGTGTAAAGAACTCTATATTATGGACGATTCAATGGATGATGACAAGGGAAGAAAACTCATGTCGTGGATATGATGTTGTTATAACTGGACATTCTTTGGTCGGTTAATGTTAAAATTAACATTCATATTATGTTTTCGTTTCCTTTTATTAATATGTTTAAATTCTTATGTATTTGAAAAAAGGGTGGTGCCCTATCATCATTCTTAGCCATAGATGTAAAACGTTATATCCTTGATCCAATTTTCTCCTCGCCAACTCACTGGCTTCTTCCTTTCACAATTCAACTGACAACCATAGGTGAACCGAGAGTTGGTAACCACATCTATGCAAAAATATTACAGACACAACTAATTTCTCAAACATCACCTTTAAAGCATAAAGTATCCAGAGTAACTCATAAGAATGATGTGATAGTACATTTACCTCCATCAAAAGACGGATTTATACATCATGCGCATGAATTATGGGTAAAAGATAAAGATCAATACTTTTTTTGTGATGACATAGTGGAAGGTTCTGAGGATCCAGTTGAGGACCCAGAGTGTCTTGCTGGTGCTAAATGGTTTGATATTAGTGCTCACTTATTCATTTGGAATACTACTTTTACACCTTTTTGTTAATATTGAATAAGATTTAATTTCTATATATAATTAATGATTGGACATTTCTATATTTCTTGTTTGTGATTTAGTATTATTTAGAAGTATAAATATATAATTTCAGTATTCTTTATAAATATACAATTTAGAGTGTTACTTTTGAGATTAATTAAATAATTTTTGATTATACATGTTTTAATGATGGTGTACATATCTTTTCACTTCGAATCCGAGATTTGAAAACGAGTGACAGCGAGATTTATGGATTAGTTTTTTTGAATTTTCGAAGGTGGAGTTCGATTCGATATTATTGAAAAAAAAAGATTCAATTCGAATCTGAGATCCAGACAATAAGCGTGAAAAAATAAATACGATATGGTGTGCAGCATCTAATCACATCACAAAATAATTATTTACAATAATATTTTTTAGAAAAATCTTTCTATAATAATATTATTTGAAACCTAAAGAATATAAATGGAGTTTTTTTAAAAAAACTTTTTAATAAAAAGTTATTTGATTTAAAAACTCTTTAATTTTATAATAAATTAAAAAAAATCCAATACAGTCAGACCTCTCTATAGTCACATTTGCTTATAATCACGTAAATTTTTAAAACCAATATATATAACACTTATAAAATTTAACCTTCATATAAGCAACAAACTCTCTATAAACATCAAATTCTTAAAACTAAGGTGTGATTATAGAGAGGTTTGACTGTACTTTATTTTATTAGTAAAAGTTAAAAATTTAGCAATTATATTATATAAATTTTAATTTAATAAATCTTTTTTCTTCACTTAGGTAGCCATGCTAGTGACCTTTATTAGGTAAATATTAACATTACTGCTAATAATACAAGCTTAATTTTTAAGTTTCAGCTCTCTTGGCTTCTATAAATACTTAGTTATTTCTGATCATCGTCTTACAATAAAATATTATTAATTTAATAATATATTCTTATAAGAAAGTAAAAGAAACAAAAAACTAATCTAAACTAAATTAAAAAAATTATAAAAAGAAAAAAAAACAAAAGTTCAGAAAACACATCTCTTTATAATTATTTTGATAAGATCACTAACACTTTAACTTATATTAAGGATCTAATTACATTTTATCTATATTAAACAGATAAAAATTTTATATACATAATTTGGAAATTATTATATATCTCTAATTTATTATAATTCTTAACTTAAATTCTTTTTTATTCTTTATTACATCATATGTTAGATTCAGTGTTATCAATTTCTTGTTCTATTGATAAAAATTATATTCTATTCTAATTTCTATTGCTCTATTCTATTGTTCTATTGTTTTA